CCAGCTACATGTAAGCTTTTAACTTAAATTCTCTTCCCCTCCACACCTTTAGCCTTCTTGTCTCGTTCCTCATGTCCCTCATTTCCTCCTCCCCCCCCGCATCCCATCTACCGCTTTTCGCATTTCATCCGTTCATTTCCCCTTTGATCCCCTCCCGTCCCTTTCATTGTTCTCCTTCCATCTCCTTCCCTCTCCTCATCTCGCATCCCCTTTCCACCCCTCTCCTCCCTCGTTTTCTTTCCTCCTCTCTCATAGCCTCATCCCTTTTCCTCCCCTCTCCTCCCTCGTTTACTTTCTTCCCTCTCATCCCCTTTCCTTCCCTCAATTACCCTCTCCTCTCCTTTCCTCCCCTCAACTCCCCTCTCCTCCCCTCTCCTCCCCTCTCCTCCCCTCTCCTCCCCTCTCCTCCCATTTCCGCCAATCTCCACCCATCTCCTCTCTCCTCCTCCCCCTCCCTCCCACCAGGCTCTGGCAGTTCCCGGTGCACATAACGGGGTGGGCCTCGTCAACCCTCGCTATTGTGATGTGAGATGTTTCAAGACTGAAAGGTCCTCCCATCCACCCCCCCCTCCCTCCCTCTCATCAGGCTCTGGCAGTTCCCGGTGCACATAACGGGGTGGGCGTCCTCAACCCTCGTCACATCCACGCTGCTGCAAGCAGTTGGCGTCGGCTCGCTCGTTAAAGCCACAGCCACTGCTGCTGCCGGCACCGCCGCTGCCTCCGGTGCTGCTGCTGCTACTGGCGCTGCTGCTGGCGCTGCTGCTGCTGGTGCAGCTGGCACCGTCGCAGCAGGAGCAGCAACCCTCGCAACCACAGCAGCGGCAGCAGCCGCCGCACTCCCTGCCGTAGACCCAGCCTCGGCCGCTGCCGCCACTGCCGCCATCAAATGGGTGGCTAAGGACGGCATAGGCGCGGTCGGCCGCCTCCTCGTGGGCGGCAGGTTCGGCAGCATCTTCGACGAGGATCCGAAGCAGTGGAGGTTCGTCGCGGACCTAATCGGCTCGTCCGGGGCAATATTCGAGCTCGCGACCCCCCTCGCGCCGACCCACTTCCTCCTCCTCGCATCCCTCGGAAACCTCACCAAAGCAGTCGCAAAAGGTCTCAAAGACCCGTCGGCTAGGGTTATCCAGACGCACTTTGCCCTGCAGGCGAATGTGGGGGAGGTGGTGGCAAAGGAGGAGGTGTATAAGGTGATGGCGCAGCTGGTGGGGCTGGGGTGCGGCGTGCTGCTGCTCAGCTCGCCCTACATTGCCGAGTCGTATTGGAGCCTGGTCACCACGTGGGCTGTGATTCGGTCAACTCATTTGGCCTTCCGGTTCAAGTCGCTCTCTGTGCTCGAGTTTGACTCTGTGAGTTGCGGTTGGGTGTCTGAAGGGGAACGGGGAGAGTCGTATTGGAGCCTGGTCACCACGTGGGCTGTGATTCGCTCCACTCACCTCGCTTTTCGGTTCAAGTCGCTCTCCGTGTTCGAGTTTGACTCGGTGAGTAGCGTGTGTCCGGAAGGGTGAGCGGAGTGCGGGGCTCGTTGCTGGGGTATGGCGTGGTGCTGCTGGGTTCTCCGGGCATTGCCGAGTCGTATTGGAGCCTCATCACCACGTGGGCTGTGCTGCGGTCCTCTCACTAGGCCTCATAGTGTATTCAAGTCTCTCTCTCTGCTCGATTTTGACCTAATGAATTGTTGAGTTGAGGGGGTGAGTGGAGTGCGGGCCTCATGGCTGGGGTGTGGCGTGGTGCTGCTGGGTTCGCCCTACATCGCCGAGTCTTGTCGCGTAGAAACAATAGCACTTTTTTTTTTTGTAACTCTGCGGCCTGCCTTTCCCCCTCTTCTTTTCCCCTTTCCCCCTTGGCGGCAGAGCTGCCCTCTGTGCAACCAGTCAATTGACAGGCACGAGCGCCTTTGTTTTTCCCACCAGCCTCACCGACCGACCACTTTCTCCCCTCTACTTCCCCTCAGCTGAGCTTCAAGCGCACAGCCATCCCTGCCAGAACGCATATCTCAGGAGCTGCAGAGCTGCCCTCCGTGCAAGCAGTCAACCGAAGGGAGCACTTCCGGCTTCCCCGCCGCCTCACGTCCATTCCCATCCTTCAACACTCCATCTTCCCCCCTCTAACCTTCAGCTGAATTTCAAGCGCATGGCCATCCTTGCCCGAGCGCACGTCTCAGGGGCAACAGAGCTGCCCTCTGTGCAGGCAGTGAACCAGAAGGAGCGCCTCTGGCTGCCTCGCCGACTGACCTCTCCTCGCATCAACCTCGGCTGCTCCCTTGCTGACTTGTCCGTCCTGCTTGAACAACAGTCAGCCAATCGAATGGTACGGACTCAGCTGTTGAGGTGCCTCACTTATAGACTGACAGGAACGCCTCTAGCTCAGGGGCTGCAATGCTGCCCTCAGTGCAGGCAGTCAACCAGAAGGAGCGCCTCTGGCTGCCTCGCCGCCTCACGTCCCCTCGCATCAACCTTGGTTGCTCCCTTGCTGACTTGTCCGCGCTGCTCGAACAACAATCGGCCAACCGAATAGTGAGATTTTCTGTTGTTGGAGGAGGGAGGGGACTTTTGAGTAGACTCAAAAGTAACCGAATAGTGAGATTTTCTGTTGTTAGAGGAGGGAGGGAGGACGGAGGGGAGTGGGGGGGAGAGGGGGGGGGGGCTGCTGTTCGTCTGTTTATCTCTGCCTGGTGGTCTCTTCATTCTCAGACTCTCCTTGTCTCATTCTCACGCAATCGCATACCTCGTCAACAGTCTCTTCTCACGCAATCGCATACCTCGTCAACAGTCTCTTCTCACGCAATCGCATACCTCCAGCCAGTCACTACACCAGGCGAGCAGGATCTATGACTTTTGAGACGTCTCAAATGTAGCTCGGGGAGGAGGAGTACCCGTCTCAGTCCTTTTGAGTTGTCGCAAAGAAAAGTACTCTGGAGAAGCAATAAGCAACCTTTACCCGCCTCAATCCTTTCCGTTGCATCTCTCCCTCTCCCTCTCGATGTTATCCCTTGTCTCTAAACTGCGTCCACGTGTCATCTTCCAGCCAATCACGGAGCTCCTGGCACTGTATCGAGACGAGCAGCATGTGCTTCTAATGGATGATACCGGTGCATTTTCTGTCATCTTCAAGGTACCCTATCTTGCTTTGAAACGTCTCAAAACAAAACGTGTGTTCTGTCATCTTATCTTACTTTGAGACGTCTTCAAACGTCTTTTCTGTCATCTTATCTTGCTTTGAGATGTCTCCAAACGTTTTTTCTGCCATTTTCAAGGTGCCCTATCTTGCTTCTTCTCCTCCCCTGTCCCCGCTCTCTTCCCTTTCTCTCCTTCAGCCTAGCCGTTGCTTGCTCTCCCTCTTCCGTTACTGTATTACAGCCTCTTCCATTGCAGCCTAGCCGTTGCTTGCACCTCCTATACTCAGTCCAACCCCCTATTCTCTCCACTTTTCCGTAATCCTAACCACGTACCACCTTCCCCGCTTCACCCTCTCACCCAACCCCCTTTCCACTCATCGTTTTTCTACTCCCCCTCCTCTCTCTACTATCCTCCACGAATGTCGGCAGCAAGGAGCATCAAAGGGGACGGTTCTGAGGGTGGTGTGGCAGGCGTGCTGGCTGCAGCAGCAGAGGAGGGAGAGAAGAAGGGAGCATGGGGCAGATGGGGAGGAGGTCCACTCTGATTTGGCTGACAGAAGCGGCGGCAGCAGAAGTGGTGGCGTTGGCAATAGCAGCAGCAGCAGTGGTGGTATTGGCATTCTTCAAGAGTCTCTGAACGCGCTAGGCAGTGAGTTTGAGGGGTTTCTTGGCAAGGCGTCCGCTGCTGGGTGGGACACCAACACTCTCGTGGCAAAGGTGCCGCCCTCCGCCCCTCTGCTCATGCTGTAATTCGGAGCTGCCTGGGTGCGGGGCATAATTGGTCTTTTGCAAGCCTCTCTACATGTGCTAGGCAGGGAGTATGAGGGGTTCCTCGCCCAGGAGACCGCTGCAGGGTGGGACACCAACACTCTCCTGGCAAAGGTGCCGTCCTCCGCCCCTCTGCTCATGCTGTGATCCCAAATGGCCTCGTGGTCTCGCTCGCTGCTGTTCCTCTCAGCAGGAGTTTGAGGGCTTCCTTGCCAAGGCAGCTGCTGCAGGGTGGAACACCAACACACTGGTAGCCAAGGTGCCTCCTTCTGCCCCTCTGCTCTGTAAGGCTGCAATCGCCAGGAGTTGCCACGGTAGACTTGCTGCTGTGTCTTGGATGACTTTACCTGCTGCTGTTATCAGGTAACAGGGCAAGCTTGATGGGCCATATGACGAAGCATTGCCGCAGCAGCAAAATTGAAGTTATTGTGTAACCAGCCATGGCTGGGAGAGTAGGGCCACTATACTTGTTTATTCAATGCCTTACATTATGTAATTTAATTCATTGGAACATTGACTAGCCTTGAAATAATAAAACAGGACTACTGTACTACACATGATTCTTCAACTCTTACTATACTGGACGGGGGGAGGGGGGGAAATGAGGCTGACTGCACTACCATCTTCAGGCGATCTAAAAAACAAAGATAAACGGAAAGCAACCTTTCCTTCCCAGTATTCCTAGAGCCTCTAGGCAAACCAACTTCTACGAAAATAACTAGGCAGACTACAGCTTGCAGCTAAGATGTGTGCACACGTAGGTGTACCGTCAACAGCCGTATCACGTCTCATCTTGCATATCACAGGACAGGAGAGGACTGCGTCACTGCGCATGACCATGTGACTTTTGAGTCGACTCAAAAGACAGGACAGGAGAGGGCTGCGTCACTGCGCATGACCATCAACTAGCCATGTCTGCAGCATTCAACAGCAATCACCAGCACCACAGCCAACAGCGGTCAACAGTTCACCACGGTCCATGGCGGTACACATCAGTCAATGGAGGTGAAGATGGCTTCTAGTCTCTCCACTGATGCGTACAGCCGCCCCACAGCAGGTCAGCAGCAGTTCACCACGGTCAAAAGCAGCCAACAGCGGTCAACAGCGGTGAACGTCAGTCAATGGAGGTGAAGATGGCTTCTAGTCTCTCCACTGACGCGTACAGCCGCCCCATATTCAGCCCCAGAATAGGTTCCCCTGTGCCCAAGGCTCTGATGATGGGGCGAGTTATTTGAGACATGAGGGGGCATGAGATACAAGAGAGGAAATAGACATGAGGGGAGAGTGAGGGCACAAACTCAGCCCTAGAATGGGCTCCCCTCCCCCGTACCCAGCGCTCCGGTGATGGGTGCGACTTTTGAGAATTCTCATAAGTCACACCAATTGGGCTCCCCTACCCAGTATCCAGTGCTCCGAGGAGAGGGGCAACAGAAGAAAGAGGAAAAGAGGGAGCTGGTTCTTGAGGGTTTTCAAAAACTAGAATGGGCTCCGCTCTCCCGTACTTTTGAGACGTCTCAAAAACTAGAATGGGCTCCGCTCTCCCGTACCCAGCGCTCCAGTGATGGGGACAGGGACAACAGAAGACAGAGGAAAGGAGAACGATACACAGAGCGAAATAACCAAGAAGAGTGCTTGAACAAGCCCTGTAAGACTCACCCATGCATGTCAGGCGGCACGCATTCGGCATTCCACCCCACGCTCACATCCACCCATGCATGCAGGGCAGCACATGACCTCACCCATGCATGACATGACAACCATACACCTTCAAGACTCACCCATGCATGTCTGGCAGCACATATTCTGCATTCCACCCCACGCGCACATCCACGCCCGGGCACACAGGCAGGTTGTGCTTATAACGAATCTCCGAGGGCGTGTTCCCATTCAGCGCGGAGGTGAGTTTCCATTTCCACCCTGTTGCGTTGTGCTTGAAGTCATGCCCAATGCCCACCTGTGGGAGTCAAGGGGAGAGAGAAAGAGGTTGGGGAGAAGGCTTGAGGGGTGAAATAAGGTGGTCAGGGAGGGAGAGGAGGGGTGAAAAGGAAACTGAGGTGAGTTTCCACTTCCACCCCGTTGCGTTGTGCTTGAAGTCATGCCCTATGCCCTCCTGTGGGAGAGTAGGGGAGGGGTGGGGAGAGAGAAGGGGGGTGGGAAAGGAAAAGGGGGGTGTGGAGGGGGGTGGGAAGGGAGAATGGGGATGGGGAGGGACAAGGGTAATGAAGTGGGGACTTTAGTGAGGTGAGTTACCACTTCCACCCCGTCGCGTTGTGCTTGAAATCGTGCCCAATGCCCACCTGTGGGGGAAAAAGGGCAAGCGCAAGGGGGTGGGTGGGGTGAAGGGTGAGGGATGAGGGTTGAAATAAGGGGGGTGGGAAGGGAGAAAGGGGATGAAATGAGCACGGAGGTCAATTTCCATTTCCACCCCGTCGCGTTGTGCCTGAAGTCATGCCCTATGCCCACCTGTGGGAGAGAATTAGAGAGAGAGGGGTGAGGGGTGAGGAAAGGGTGAGGGGTGAGAGAGGAGGGGGAAAGGGATGGAGGCTTGGGGAGGGGGGGAGAATAGGAGAGTCAAATAAAGGGATGGTATAACAACCCTACAGGTGCCCACTTATCACAGCCACAACTGGCCACACTACACCGTACACCACCTGCATTGCACCACATATCACCGCACTGCACACCTGCAGGTTGAGCAGCCCCATGATGGGGATCTTGCGGGTGAGGAAGCGGATGTCCCCTGCTGAGGCTCAAAGGTAAGTTCCAACATACCACCATGACGAACACACCCACCATAACCGCACCTGATCGCACCAGAACGCACAGCACCACACTGCATGGCACACCACCGCCCGGCACCGCACTGCACCACACCTGCAGGTTGAGCAGCCCCATGATGGGGATCTTGCGGGTGAGGAAGCGGATGTCTCCCCGCTGCGGCTTAAAGACGACCCTCCAAACCAGCCCCAACCGCACCTGACCGCACTGCACCGCACAGTACCGGACTGCACCATACCGCACCACCTTGCACCGCACCGCACACCTGTAGGTTGAGCAGCCCCATGATGGGAATCTTGCGGGTGAGGAAGCGGATGTCCCCCCGCTGTGGCTCAAAAATCACCTTCCACTTCCGATCCGTGATGTTGGGCTTTAAGACCAACTTCAGGTTCGCGCTGTTCACCTGTTCGCAGAAAAGGGGTGGAGGACAGACAGACATCAGCCTGATTCCACTTGCAGTCCGTAATGTTGGGCTTTAACACCAGCTTCAGGCTCGCAGAGGGTGCAGTGGGGGGGAGCATACAGCGACAACAGTTCACTTGCGGTCCTTGATATTTGGGCTTTAACACCAGCTTCAGGCTCTCGCTGCTCAACTGTAGATAAGAGCGGGTGTAGTGTAATGTTGTGGACAAGAGGCACGGGAGTTTTGAGAATTCTCAAAACAAGGATGTCTTTCCACTTGCGGTTCATGATATTTGGGAAAAAAAGGGTGGACGGGTGGCAGCACGGGCCTTGGGGGAGAGGGAGAGGGTGGAGAGCTGGGGGGGTGGGCGAGCCTACACCCGAGCTTGACGCTGGTGCCGAGCTTGTACTGCAGGAAGCGACTCCCTCCACCCACCCACCACCCCAATGCTCTCTTCAATGCTCACCTGAAAACCCCATAGGGAGAGTGGGTTGTGCTTGGGCGCAGGAGCCGCCTTGGGCGAGAGGGAAGCAGTGAAAAGCTATGGAGGATCCAGCTTCCGCCGGAGTTCCAAATTGGCCCCGAGCTTGTACTGCATGAAGCGCTGGCGGAACTTGAAGAACACCTCCTTGGGCTTCCACTCCACCTGATACATATCCCCCTCCCCTCCCCTTCCCCCTCCCCCACCCAGGCCCACTCCCCTTCCCCCGTCCACCCCCCTCAATCCCCCGCCCCCTGCCCTCAAATGCTCACCTGGAAACCCCACAGCGACAGCGGGTTGTGCTTGGGCGCAACAGGGGCCTTCGGAGAAAGGGAGGTAGTCGAAAGCTGTGGGGGATCCAGCCTGCGCCTGAGCTCCACGTTGGCCCCGAGCTTGTACTGCATGAAGCGCTGGCGGAACTTGAAGAACACCTCCTTGGGCTTCCAGTCCACCTGGTACATCTCCCGCCACCACGCCCACGCCTCCTCCCCCTCCCCCCCCATCCCCTCCGCCTGCCCCGCCACGGATCCCGCTCCGCCCAGACTCCCCCTCCCCTGGCCCCACCCTTCTCCCCCTCCGCCTCCCCATCCGCCTCCGCCTCCGCCTCCCCCGAGCGTCGTCCCTGATAGGCCTGAGGCGTCTGGCTCGTTAGAGTAGGAGGGGCTGATGCGGAGAGGTCCCCCCCTCCGCGCCCCTCCCCCCGCCCCTCCCCCTGCGCCGCTGGCTACCCCAGGGTAGTACTGCTGCTGCTGGGGAAGGTTAGGGTACTGCGGCTGCTGGTGCGGCTGCTGGTGTGGCTGCTGGTGTGGCTGGTGCTGATGATGGTGGTGGTGGTGACGGTGGTGGTGGTGTTTCGCCCCTGATCCTCGGCTGCGGGATGAAGGGTAGGCTACACCTGCAGATGCCCCTACACCTGCAGCAGCAGCAGTAGCTGTGGCAGCAGATGCGCCTGCCCCAGAAGAGCCTGCTCCAGGTACGGGATAGCCAGGCGGGTTGCCTGTAGGCGTGTAGCGAGGGTCCTCGGGCTGGGAAATACCCCACAAAAGGACGGGGAAATTGGGAAAATTGCCACTTTGAAATATTAGTACTCTGGGATATTACCGCGTAGGAACGGCAGGTGGTAGGAGGAGCAAAGGACAGATAGATTGTAGATAGCTGATAGACTGGCCGCTTGGAATCGTCAGTTGGACTCTGTTTTGCCATAACCATTTACTTAACTGTACAAAAAACAAAAATACTCTAACCGTGTCATTACCAATAGACCGCATTAGGCATTACTTACCACATAGCTTGACGACGCGCCGGGCCCACCGAACTGGCCATCACGCGGAGTGGAGAAATGAACGTTGTCGTACGTCCGATCCCACTGTTCCCATCTCCGCCCTCCGTTCGCCGTCGCCGTTGATCCAACGGCTGTCGACGCGCCGTACTGCGCTGGTGCGCCGCTGGGAGCTCCGGGAGCTCCCGAACCTGATGTGGAGGTTCGTACAGGATCCGCGCTGGGAAATGGAAAGCGAGGTGTCAGCGGAAACAGCGAAAGCGGCAGGAGATTCTAAGAGAAGCAATACACAGACGACCATCAGGCTGTGAGCATTCGCTCAAAGTTAATGACAATGCTATATTGTTCGTACGCGACGGTTCGTCCTTAACATTTCGTCATTAACGGCTCGTCGTTCGCGGTTCGCACTAACGCGGTCCTAGTTATTATTCAGGTAGTACCTTGATTTATCGCGGAACGAGTCTGCTCGGCTCTCCCAGATGGCCAGTCGGCGTCGCACGCCCCAGCCTCCGTCCGCCATGGCGACTAAGAGTCTCAGACGGACAGTGACGAATAAAAGTCGAAGTCCGACAGTCACAAATAAGAGTCTCAGTCAGACAGTGACGACGCTTTCGCTACGCAGCGGCCGAATGAGAGCGCACCGAAATTGCGATAGGGGAGTGATGGACAGTTAGCTGGAATGACAGGTAAGTGAATGGCCAGCGACACTGGGTAATAGATAAGAATATTTCAGGCAATGACCAGCTGCTGTCCACGCAGCAGGCAGGCGGCACGCCACTCCCCGCACGAGGTGATTAGGCTTTTTGGAGCTTCTGAACTTGTCATTGGATGCAAAACATGTCATCTGGAAACGTTCATTACCCGTAACATACTTATTTGTACCACTACAAACCACCGGATTAAACTTTGTATCGTCAATTAGGGCGTGGCACCATTTTGATTTTTAGTGCTTTTTCGGACGGTCCACAAATTTCGTATCGGACCGTCCAAATATCGAGTACCGGACAGTCCGTTGTGAAAATTCGAAACTTTGCACAGTTCAGATGCAAAGCTGTCACTTTTCTGAGTCTAGGGTTTTGACGAGGTACTGTAGCCTCGCCATGAAAACTGTACAGTCGTTACCAAATTCACGACTGCTCGCAACATTCGCCAATCAGCATACGCGACTCGAACACCAACAAAAACAGTTTTCCTGCACACCAAACATCCCTCGACATTGAACCAAGTACAACGAGGTGGAGGAATTGGCGAGGAGTTGGGTGTGGTGGGTCGCGGTTCCGTTCCCTATCTGCACAAGAGTGGTCCTTTGTGATGGTTCGGTTCGGATTTGTGGGGGTTTTGTAGCCCAGCAGCTCGGTTCGATGTCACCGTCCAATGTTTGAGTTCGAGTCGCGTGCCCCAAAAATTAGACGAGGCGACTCGGTTTTTTGTTTTTGTGCTGTTCGCGCGCCAATCCCGTAGCAGCACTGTTCTTCCGTCCGTCCGGTATTCGAACCGCCAAAAGTTCAGAGTCTGAACCGTTGTTAGGAGGGAAAAGTGACGCAACAGTTCGAACCGTTGGCGACGTCGCAAATACTTTCACGAAACTATTTCTGAAGTTAAACGAAGCTGGTAACCTTTTCGCAGTTCGGACCGTCAACTGTTCGAACCGTCGGGAGCAAAATGGTGCCACGCCCTTACCGTACTTGAATTCTGTGAACCATCAGTGCCAGACCTGACGCATTGATGTTGCCGCGCAGAACTCCAGCGTGCGCAGCCTTGAAATGTATGGAGCCGAGGGGGAGAGGGAAAATGGCTCACGCGCACAGGTAGGTTTGGCGCGAAGGAATGGTTGGCGGGGCGGAGTCAACAGTTGAACTGCCCCGAGCGACAAGGCTCGTCATCGCCCAAAGACCATTCTCATTTCGTAGTAACAGATTTCGCCAATCGCAGTGCCCAATCAATGAGGGTTCCTTGCCTCAGGAGCTGACAAGACGACGCTCTGCGATTCATTACCTTCCTGACCAAAATCAAGCTCGATCGTTTCAGGGCGCGTTTGTCAAAATCCGTGACGCTGACGGTCTCAGCAGAGGAGTTACGGATTTCGGAATTCCGACCTGAATACAAAGTAAAGCGTATAGCTTCACTGCAATAACAGGACTTCCATTTCGAGACTCTTTCTGAAACAACAAAAAGAAGCATACGACCCAAGGATAAATCGCAAAACCAGATTCCTGGAGATTCCGACTTACCTCCCTCCGTGCCATCGCCATGCATGCACCCATACTTTCCATTCACCATCCCAATCTGCACGCACCTCTCTACTCCATTTGTCATACATTCCACTTCCCATTCACGGCTGCGTGCCGCCACCGACCATCACTATTTCCATCAATCAACGACCTCATTCCGATCTCACTCCACCTGAGCCAGCCGTTTGAATGTCTGCAGCCCGCATCCAGCGGATAGCTCCGGGGATTAAATCCCTCTTTCGCGCCTCCCCCGCCGAGACTAGCTATTCCAGACTCCACCAATCGTGCTCTCTAGCCGCTACTGTGGGTTTCAGCCCCTTTTCGTGTCGCCCTTCATCTGGCGCGTCGCCCGCGCTTTCCGAAAGACCTGCCGCCTCGTCGCCGCTTACCGAAAGCCGCACCGCGGTTGCCGGAGTCGTCCATCAGTCTCGCGACATAAATCGAACCGTTCATTCTCTGAGCCCTTGCATTTCTGTTGCAGCTCGACACGACTCGCGCTGCTCTCCTTCGCAAAGCGTCCCCGCGTCTCAAGCCGTCGTCTCCGCGTGCACGCGAAGCTTCGCGGCGTTCGGAATGGCGGCGCCTAAAGAGATCTCGTCCAATAAGATGTTCGGCGGCGTGAACAAGCGCTACGAGCACGAGAGCGCGACTCTCGGGTGCACCATGAAATTCTCCATCTACTTCCCGCCCGCCGCTACCTCCTCGCGCGTCCCGGTACAAATAAGCCTATAGAACTCTCACCTCGTTGCGCTTGTTTCGTCCACATCTCGGCCTGTCGCCTCGTGCGTTGTCCCCACACACCCTCCCCACACACCCCTTCTCTTCGCCCTCGCAGGTGATCTACTGGCTCTCGGGTCTCACCTGCATGGACGAGACTAGTCGTGATCCGCTCCCCCACTACCCAACTTCCCCACCCTCCTCTCTCCCTTCTCCCCACTAACAGGTGATCTACTGGCTCTCGGGTCTCACCTGCACCGACGAGAACTTCATTCAAAAGTCGTTCGCGCAGAAATACGCCTCAGAGCACGGGGTCGCCCTCATTGTCCCCGACACCTCGCCCCGTGAGCACCCCCACCCACCCCCCCCTCACCTTAACCCCTCTCTCTGCACGCGCCGGCCTGGCAATGCGCGCAAGCCTGCCTCAGAGCACGGGGTCGCGCTCATTGTGCCTGACACCTCGCCCCGTAAGCTACCTCCTCCTCCCCACCCCCCGTGTGTTTTGAGTCGGCTCAAAATACGCCTCAGAGCACGGGGTCGCCCTCATTGTCCCCGACACCTCGCCCCGTAAGCTTCCCCACCCACCCCCCCCTCACCTTAACCCATCTCTCTGCACGCGCCCCCCTGGCAATGCGCTCAAGCCTGCCTCAGAGCACGGGGTCGCCCTCATTGTCCCCGACACCTCGCCCCGTAAGCTCCCCCACCCACCCCCCCCCTCACCTTAACCCATCTCTCTGCACGCGCCGGCCTGGCAATGCGCGCAAGCCTGCCTCAGAGCACGGGGTCGGCCTCATTGTCCCCGACACCTCGCCCCGTAAGCTGCCCCATCCTCCCCCTGAAGCTGCCGTGCAAGCTCCCTCTCCTTCTCACAGCACCTTCCCTGCGCGCCCAAGCCGGCCTCAGAGCACGGGGTCGCGCTCATTGTCCCCGACACCTCGCCCCGTAAGCTGCATTACCTTTCTCTTAAGCTGCATTTCCCTAAGTACGCGAATGCCCTTTTCGAGGGTAAAACTGGAACTGTTGTTGAATATATGGCCTTCAATCAGTGAAGTCACACTCTCAGAGAATGCCCAATACACCTTAATATGCTTTCGTTACTGGTGCTACGCCTATGGCATTTTAATGCCTTCTTCGCCACTTGTTTTCGCATTTTTCTTTCCCTGCTCAGGTGGGTTGAAGGTGGAAGGAGAGTCAGACAATTGGGATTTCGGAGTGGGTGCCGGCTTTTATGTAAACGCCACGGTTCCCAAGTGGAAGAACTGGCAGATGTACGACTATGTGACTGAGGAGCTACACCGGATCTTGTCCGCCCACTACACTAATCTGGACATGCAGCGGTGCAGCTTAATGGGTCACTCTATGGGGGGACACGGCGCGCTGATTATCTTCTTCAGAAATTCCACCAAGTATAAGGCGAGTGTTTCTGTTTGAAGTTACTGAGTAAAGTGGATTTGGATGCAGCAGTGCAGCTTAATGGTTCACTCCATAACGAGTCATCTGCTGCTAACTATCTCCATTAGAAGTCCCACTCGGGGAGCCTTAAGGCCTTCGCTCACTGCCCTCGTCCCGCTACTGAGAAGTCTCCAAAGTGCCTTTTTAAGCGCCCTATCTGTTTTCCCTGTTCCCCACTTCCCCTCCAATCCGTGTCCGCATTCGCCCCCATCTGCAACCCCACGGAGTGCCCCTGGGGGCAGAAGGCTTTCTCTTGCTGCCTTCTTTTCACCTTCCACGCTGAACGCCCCATTTGATTCCCCTGTTTCCCCCGTGTTTCCCCCTCCTCCCCCTTTTCTCACTTCCCCTCCAGTCCGTGTCCGCATTCGCCCCCATCTGCAACCCCACGGAGTGCCCCTGGGGGCAGAAGGCCTTCACGGGGTATTTGGGGGACGATAAGGCAGCCTGGGAGGTGAGTCGAGTCGGTTGGGAGTGGTTGGGCTGGGCTGGGCTGCAATCCCACTGAGTAAGGGGAAATACAGCTCAGCCTGGGGGCAGAAGGCCTTCTCAGGGTACTTGGGAGAGGACAGAGCAGCCTGGGAGGTGAGCCCAATGGGTTGGGTTGGGTTGGGCGGTTTTCCATTCAACTTAATGATCACCTTTTCAGGGCATTTGTGCGAGGACAGAGCAGTCTTGGAAGTGAGGCGGATAAGAGTGGGTGGGCGGCTCATAAGCTCACACGTGATAAAAAGTTGAGTTTTGAGACGTCTCAAAACTCGACTTTTATCACTTGAAATCACATTTCGTTGAAACTCTTGGGAGAGGACAGAGGAGCCTGGGGGGTGAGCTTGCTGGGTTGGGTTGCTGAGTTGGAAGGTGGTTGGGCTGGGTTGGGTTGATAAGTTGTCACATGGTTGGGAGGGAATTAGAGCGGGAGTGACCTACTTGCGTCTTCCTACTTCCCTCTCATCACTTCTCCCTCATCTCGTCCCGCTCATATCTTCCCCCTTATCCCGTCCACGTCGTCCCATGCCCTTTCTTCCGAATGCCCCTCTCAGGCGTATGACGCCACAGCGCTCGTGAAGCAGTATCCAGGGCTTCCACATGCACTCGCTGTCTCCCCCCTCCCTCGTCCCCTCATTGACTCCCCTCATTGACCCCTCATTGACTCCCCTCATTGACCCCTCATTGACTCCCCTCATTGACCCCTCATTGACTCCCCTCATTGACTCCCCTCATTGACTCCCCTCATTGACTCCCCTCATTGACTCCCCTCATCGACTCCCCTCATTGACTCCCCTCATTGACTCCCCTCATTGACTCCCCTCATTGACTCCCCTCATTGACTCCCCTCATTGACTCCCCTCATTGACTCCCCTCATTGACTCCCCTCATTGACTCCCCTCATTGACTCCCCTCATTGACTCCCCTCATTGACTCCCCTCATTGACTCCCCTCATTGACTCCCCTCATTGACTCCCCTCATTGACTCCCCTCATCGACTCCCCTCATCGACTCCCCTCATCGACTCCCCTCATCGACTCCCCTCATCGACTCCCCTCATCGACTCCCCTCATCGACTCCCCTCATCGACGACTCCCCTCATTGACTCCCCTCATTGACTCCCCTCATTGACTCCCCTCATTGACTCCCCTCATTGACTCCCCTCATTGACTCCCCTCATTGACTCCCCTCATTGACTCCCCTCATTGACTCCCCTCATTGACTCCCCTCATTGACTCCCCTCATTGACTCCCCTCATTGACTCCCCTCATTGACTCCCCTCATTGACTCCCCTCATTGACTCCCCTCATTGACTCCCCTCATTGACTCCCCTCATTGACTCCCCTCATTGACTCCCCTCATTGACTCCCCTCATTGACTCCCCTCATTGACTCCCCTCATTGACTCCCCTCATTGACTCCCCTCATTGACTCCCCTCATCGACTCCCCTCATCGACTCCCCTCATCGACTCCCCTCATCGACTCCCCTCATCGACTCCCCTCATCGACTCCCCTCATCGACTCCCCTCATCGACTCCCCTCATCGACTCCCCTCATCGACTCCCCTCATCGACTCCCCTCATCGACTCCCCTCATTGACTCCCCTCATTGACTCCCCTCATTGACTCCCCTCATTGACTCCCCTCATTGACTCCCCTCATTGACTCCCCTCATTGACTCCCCTCATTGACTCCCCTCATTGACTCCCCTCATTGACTCCCCTCATTGACTCCCCTCATTGACTCCCCTCATTGACTCCCCTCATTGACTCCCCTCATTGACTCCCCTCATTGACTCCCCTCATTGACTCCCCTCATTGACTCCCCTCATTGACTCCCCTCATTGACTCCCCTCATTGACTCCCCTCATTGACTCCCCTCATTGACTCCCCTCATTGACTCCCCTCATTGACTCCCCTCATTGACTCCCCTCATTGACTCCCCTCATTGACTCCCCTCATTGACTCCCCTCATTGACTCCCCTCATTGACTCCCCTCATTGACTCCCCTCATTGACTCCCCTCATCCACCCTCTACCCCTCTCAGGAGTATGACGCCACAGCGCTCGGGAAGCAGTTCCCAGGGCTTCCAGGTGCCTTTTAAGGCGCCTCAAAAGTCGCTCGGGAAGCATTGAAGCAGTGAATCAGTACCCAGGGCTTCCACATGCACTAGCTCTCGCCCCCCTCCCTCACCCCTCTCCACTCCCTTCATCCGCCCCCCTTCCCCTGCACGCCTGCCCCGCCCTCTCAGGAGTATGATGCCACAGCGCTCGTGAAGCAATACCCAGGGCTTCCCTGTCAACTATATTGGTGCGACTTTTTAGAATTCTCAGAAGTCGCACCAACAGGGCTTCCCTGCCAACTATATTGGTGCGACTTTTTAGAATTCTCAAAAGTCGCACCAACAGGGCTTCCCTGCCAACTATATTGGTGCGACTTTTTAGAATTCTCAAAAGTCGCACCAACAGGGCTTCCCTCCCCCTCTCCTCCTCGTCCTCATCCCTTCCCCTGCACGCCTGCCCCTCTCAGGAGTATGACGCCACAGCGCTCGTGAAGCAGTACCCAGGGCCAAAGGTTGACATTCTCATCGACCAGGTACGTTCAGTTCATGACCACGCACAGAACCCGCGATCGACATTCAGTTCATAACCCAGTCTTTTAGTTGCGCCGTCCCAGTACCCGCGCAACGCAGAGCCCAAGGTCAGCATCAATATTGACCAGGTAGGCACGTACAAAACACAGTCTTGTAGTACGTGCACAACACAGATTAGGTTGGGCACAACACAGTCTGCAAGTAGAACTGGCACAGCACTCGCGAAGCAGCACCCAGGGCACGAGGCAGACATTCTTATCGACCAGGTATGGGATGTAAAGCCCGCAATCCGTAGCTTCAGGTCCTCCTCAGGTTTGTTCCTTGGAAACGAGCCCTCTCAAGAGTATGACCCCACAGCACTCGCGAAGCAGCACCCAGGGCCAAAGGCAGACATTCTTATCAACCAGGAATTTGCGGAACCCAGACATTAAGTTGTGTCTGCAGTCAGACCCGGAAGCCACAGCACCTGTGAATCAGTTCCAAAATTCTAATGCGGAAGTTCTTGTAGACCAAGTTGACCAGGTAACATAGCCTCCTCAGGCTTTAAGGCTCAGATCTGAACTTCCTCTCTCTGTCCCTTTTGAGGCCCCTAAAAAAAAAAAAAAAAAAAATCCGCAAGCTCAAGGCTCTATTCGTAACTTCCTCCCACTCTCTCCCTCTCCCCCTCCCACTTTCCACCTCCTCACTGCCATTGCAGGGTGACAGTGACAAGTTCTATCACGAGAAGCAGCTGCTGTCCGGAGGACGTGTGATTATATTCTAGACCCCCTAAATCCCATGAAAAAACATCTCTTGTCGGTTCACTTCCTGCAAGGCGATAGTGACAAGTTCCATCACGAGGAGGAGCTGCTGCCCGGAGGACATGGGGTTTTTTTTCTAGACCCCCTAAATCCCTTAAAAAACATCTCTTGTCGGTTCACTACAAGTTCCATCACGAGGAGGAGGTGCTGCCGGGAGAATTTCCAGAGCGGCTTGCTGTAAGAGACTTTTGAGTCGACTCAAAAGTCAGCTGCTGCCGGGAGAATTTCCAGAGCGGCGTGCTGTAAGAGAGCACTTTATCCATCAATCTCTTCTTTCTTTTCTTCTTTCCTTTTCTCTTTCGTTTTTCCACGTTTGCAGGGCGACAGCGACAAGTTCGACCACGAGAAGCAGCTGCTGCCGGAGGTGGTGTGGTCTGTTCTGAAGCATCATAAGTCAATGTCTCTCCCCTCAACCCCCTCAACTCTTCTCTTGTTGTTTCACCCCTGCAGGGCGACAGCGACAAGTTCGACCACGAGAAGCAGCTGCTGCCGGAGAACTTCCAAAAGGCGTGCACAGAGGCACCGTGAACGACCACTTTCCCCATTGATCTCAATCCCCCCTCCTCGAATTCTCTTCTGTTTTTTTCATGTTCACTCCCTGCAGGGCGACAGCGACAAGTTCTACCACGAGAAGCAGCTGCTGCCAGAGAATTTCCAAAAGGCGTGCACGGAGGCAGGCGTGCCGCTGACGCTGCGCTTCCAGGGAGGCTACGACCACTCCTACTTCTTCATTGCTTCGTTTATTGGTGACCATATTAAGCACCACGCCAAGGCTCTGAAGGCGTGATCGAAGCTTTGGCAGAGTGCTAAGGCTGTACCGTGTGCTTCCAAGGGGGCTACAACCACTTGTACTTCTTCATTGCATCTTCATTGGCAACCTCATCAAGCACCATGCCAAGGCCCTCACGGTGATATATACACCAATGCTTATAACATTAGTTTAGACTATGTTTTGTGTTCATGCATCAAGCGCTCCATCTAGGTCAGCTACTTTAGGTAGCTATAGATGTTTTTATCCCCACTATCAAAGTCTAGTCATGATTTTGAAACACAGGAGGACCGTACTGTACCTCTCAGTGACGTTCTGTCTGCAGGACACACCTCACTTGGGCGGGTTCTGACATATCAGACAACCAAGCCCACTAGCACCGACAATATCCGTGTTCTGCTGAAGGCGCCCCAGCTTGGGCTCTTCAAACGAGTCCGCTGGATTATAACGGGGTTAAATTTGAATTCACGTACGGTTTGGTTTGGTGCGTTGCGGTCCGAGGAGGCAGCGAGCACGAACCGTGTTCTACCGTGTGCGAACCTGTTGAACCGATTACTACTATCGGAGAGGAAACTTGAAGGGACACGCACCTAGCATCTCGCCTCTCCTCGCCTTGCCAGCCATGGCTGATGCCAGGCTATTCCTCCTAGAGAATACCACCACCTACCCAATGAACATCGCGAGTCGTGGCTGCAACGGCCACCAGCAGATCAGAACGCTATGCTCCCTGCCGATATGGGCATGTGCTGATTATTCATGCCGATATGACTTGCTGCTATTTGCCGTTTGCCTCTGTGCCGGGCAAAATTTAATATATTGGTATTTATTTTATTCCGAAAGTTCTTCATGGAAGCTGTTGAAGCTCATGACTCGAAGGCGTCTTGGCTATCGTTTGTGACTTTGCTAGCGTTATTCGCGTTAGTGGTAGTTCCGTTGCTACTCTTCACCGTACTCGTGAACTCATACACGATATATGCTGACGCACCAGGCATCCACGTTTGGCCCGGCCATTTTTCTGCGAACGAACAGGGTAAATCATATGCTGACGTGGCTGCGAGTCGGGAGAAATGCCAGGTTCCAGAAAATCATTTGGTAGGATCCGATCCAATTTGCTGGTGGTCTGGGGACCATGGCGGGTACGGTAGCGACTCGTCGGGAACCAGCAACGACACGATCGAGTCGATTAGCGGCGGACCGCATCAGAACGACTCAACGACGCAGGGCGCTCATGACAAGGCAATCGAGGAGGAACGAATCTGGAGGAAGAGAAAGGAGGGCGTTTTGATTTTCGGCGGGGGTTGCTCCCGCTGCACGGTGGGCGAGCTATGCGCCTTCGAGATTGCCGTCCGATCGCCCGCGAAATGGGTCGCGCGACCAAGGGGTTTCGCCGCCAGCTACAGTGGTAGCGGCTCCAGCAGTAGTGGCGACAGCAGCAGTCGTAGCGACAGCAGCAGTGGTAGCGCTACGGGTAGTGGCAGTAGCGAGAGGTTTAGGGTCGGGGACAGGCGGATGGGCGTGGGTGGGCTGCAAGAGTCGCTGGTGGTGAGGCTGATGGGACCTGCGTTGGCTGTAGCGGATGTGACTACAGAGGAGGGTGACGTCACGCGATGGCGAGTCACGTACCGCGTGTGGGACGCTGGTAACTACAGGTGAGGGTTGCGGGGAGACATGGGAAGGGGGATGGAGAGAAGCGGAAATAGAAGGGACGGAGAAGAAGGTGGGACGCTGGTAACTACAGGTGAGGCTTGAGGAGAAGGTGGGAAGAGGGTGGGGGTGGGAAGGGGGTGGAGGAGGAAGGCGAAGGAGAGGAAAGGGGAAGGCCGGGATAAAGAGAATCGTGGGCCAGGAGGGAATCAGGGGGAGCTGAATGTGTTCCCTCCCGAACCTCTCTCCACTTGAATTTAACCCTTCAGACGCACATCACAGTTTCTTATTTGAACCTCTTTCCTTGTTTCCGTTTGCAAATTCTTCTCCTGAATCCCCACCTAACCAGCGTCCTGGTCCAATCAGAGTGCGACACGTTGAATTTTGCTCCCAATTACTTGGAGCGAGTCAGCACCACGGGATCACATGTCATGGCACAGTGGAACCTCACTGTCCTTCCACACACCCAACCAGCTACCGAACCAGCCACTGAACCAGCTACCGCTACTTCTGCTGTGTCCCAAGTCAGCAGCACATTTCCACAGAATGCAATGGACGGCCCAGATTCGCCCTGCGTCCATTCCATCAACGGCCGCTGGCTGCTCAATGAACAGACGCAAAACTACACGTGGCAGCTCTACCCCTGCGCACACCCCCTCCCTCCCACTTCCCAATGGGTCTCCGCCCTCCAATCCCGGGGCATTTCCGAAATCAACTTTGTGGGGGACTCTCACGTGCGATTCCTCTTCCACCACCTCTACTTTCTCCTCACTGGCAAGGCCAATGCTTCCACTTTTCAGTACCATTGGGACATTCAGTTGGTCGTGCCGCCCCCTAGCCCGGACCTGCAGCCTCTGAAGCTCAACTTTTATTGGATCGGAGGGATGTTTGTCAACGGGTCTTTTGGCTGCAGGTAAACCGTGGTTGTTTATGTCTGCTTCTTTCTAATCCGTTGTGTTCATCCTTTCGTGATTGAGACAATTTCTTGTTTAAGGCCGGATAAAGGAGAGTATCTCGCTCTAAACACACTCCATCTGCCTTCTCTTCCCACCGTTTCCTGTTATTTTCCCCTCGTTATTGTCACCATGCAGGAATGAGAACATCACGTCATTTCAAATGCTCCAGTTCCCAAACATCTCCACAACAGCCCATGTGACTCTCTTAGATGGGGGTTACTGGACAACCTTTTTCTGTGATGAGCCTGAGAACGCCTTTGGGTACTATCTTCCTAACTTCCTGCAGTGGTTTTACTCCAGAATAGAATTGATTCAGTTGGAGCATCAACGGCAGCAGCAGCAGCAGCAGCAGCAGCAACAACAGCAGCAGCAGCAGCAGCAGCAACAGCAGCAACAGCAGCAGCTCCAGGGGCAGGTTGAAACTCCCGACAAAGGCCCTTGGTTTCTATACCGAACCATCCCCCCAAAACGGCTTAACGAGTTCTGTGATAAGGGAACAAACACCCTCATTTCACACTTGAACAAAGTTATAGCCGGGCATTTAGGACGTTACGGACTGTCTCTTCTCAACGACTGGCTAATTGCTGCCCCTAGGCCTGATGACACTTGTAAGAATACGGATGTGCACTACAGTTGCTTTGCCGAAGCCGAGGAAGGCAAGAAGACTACGGAGGTTGAGGGAGAGTATTATGGGACTGTGGGAGAGGCGATGGTGTGGAATTTCATTTACCATTTATTGTATGAGCTAGATTGAGTTAAATAGTACTAGCACCTAATGAAAACATCGATGGGTATAGCCCAAGTCATTGCAGCTCGATTTTACCGCTTGCAACCCAAACTGCAACCCTCTGCAAGCACGTGGCCATCCCCTCCGTGCTTACCGCCTTTCACCCCCTCAACTGGTGCGTTTCAAGTCCTCGTCCCCATTTCGCAACCTAGTTTCGTAGTACTGTACGCGTTCTTGCAACAGCACTTCCATTCCAAGCCACTATGCACTATGGTACTGTTATGAGTTGTAAAAGAGAGTGCGCAGGTAAACGAATAACGAGACTGTGATTAACTGATCTCAGAATACAATGAAGGCACAGACTAATGTAAGGGCTAGCCTAGCTAGGAGGGAACCTCGGACGAGCGAGGATGGGTGCAGGTTTGGCGATTGGGAAATGCCGAAGGCGACGCGAGGAGCCTCAACAGCGTTGAAATCGGCCGAACGTGCGTCTTCGCGCCAAGTAATCACCAACAAGTGATGAGGTGGTCAGTGAGTTGGAGTGCACCCACGTGTCGTCCTCACTAGTGCGGTCATTCCAACGAATTAGGAAATCCACGTGGCGACCAGCTGCATCAAGGTGAACCCGGTGTGCCAAAATCTTCGATGGGTCAAGAGTCGGCTCCGGGACAAGTCGTGCAGTTGGGGCAGCTTGTTGCTGCGCGATGTCGGTCATGGCCGGCACGAACTTGCAAAGCAGGCTGACGTGGAAGGCGTCATGAATGCGCCAGTCGTCGGGTAGCAGCAGCTTCGCGGTGACAGGTGTCACCATCTTGATAATCTTGAATGGCCCACAAAATCGTGGCCGTAGTTTCGACGGGCCGGGCAGGTGCAGGTTCTTCGTGTCAAGTAGCACTAGTTGCCCAGTGGTCAAGACGAGTTCCCGGCGTAGAAGGTCGGTGTATTTGCGGGAAGTGATATTCGCCTTGCGAATTGCGTCTGCGGCTTTTTCTCTGGCTTCTTGAAGTTCCGTCACAAAGGTTTGTGACCTCGAGACTGGGTTGTCGAGATAAGTCGCTGTAGGAACCGTCGGGTCCATCCCGTGATTCAGGAAAAACGGGGAGTGATTATTCGTGCTGGACGGCGCGTTGTTGAAGGCGAATTCCAACATTGCGAGAGATTCTTCCCAGCGGGCAGGGTCGGGGCAGTTTGTCCTGATCAGCTGCTCCATGGTCTGATTGGTCCGCTCGGTCTGGCCGTCCGTCTGTGGGTGATATGCCGATGAGAACTGTAGTTTCGTGCCGTACTGCGCCCACGTCTCCTTCCAGAATTTCGATGTAAACTTCGGGTCTCAGTCGCTGATGATCGCCGAAAGGATGCCGTGCAGTCGCACGACCGTTGAAATGAAGAGGCGCGCAGTTTCTTCGGCTGTGATTGTTGTTCGGCATGGGGCAAAACGCGCCATCTTCGTGAAGCAATCGACGACGACGAGCACAGCGTCGTTGCCGGACGGCGCAGCTGGCATCCCCGTGACAAAATCCATTATCACTTGCTGCCACGCTCGTTCGGGTGGCTCGAGGGGTTGCAGCAGCCCAGCCGGTCGTTGACGTGTCAATTTCATGACTTGGCACACCCTGCATGAGGACACATATCACTGCACGTCGTTAGAGGAATCAGGCAAGTAATATTGACGGTGCAGTAATTTCTGGGTT